CTCCCGTGCTCGGATACTTGATCCAGCCTCCTCCTATCAAAAGAATAACATCCCTAATCAATACTCTCTCATCATCTCGTCTCTAATGATGGGTAGAAGACCATTCTACCCCTCCCAGAACTCTCTTGAATCAGCTTGACCAAAACCCTAAGGTCAACTGAAGTCAACGGTCAAACTTTAACCCGAATCGTCGAGTGCACATGGACGACTCGGCGAGTCCATGCGGGTCCTTTGAATCCTTCTAGCCTCACTTGGCACGTCGAGTCATCCCTTTACTCGACGGGTTACTCTGTCACGAATCGCGGGGCAACCCCGACTCGACTCGTCGAGTCCACTTATGAACTCGGCGAGTTGCTTCCATGGCAACACTCAAATGACCTTCTGAGGTCAGATCTGCTTCTCTAACCTATAGATCTGACCTTCCCAAACACGGTAACCACGTAAAGGCTCAGTCTTGACATTCATGCAACGCACACAAGGCTTTCCTTGGTGAAATGGCTTCTAAAATGGCAACATAGTCTCATTCCCTCCATGAACCAACATAAAGCAGAATGGATAAGGCCCTCTGGACCTCTAGAGGTCCAGATCCAGAGTCTAACACTCAAAGGGACAACATACTCAACATTTCAAGCCAATAAAGGGTATAGAAAACCCTAAAATTCAAGGATCTTAAACCAAACAGAGAAAGGATCGATTTGCTACCTCAACACTGTAGATCCAAGCTTGGAAACCACGGATTAGCAACCCTCTTGTCCTCCTCTAGCTGGAAACACCTTCTTCTTTGCAAAACAACACCAAAAAGGGTTGAAATGGCTTTCTCTCTCACACAACTCGTTCAAGCTCTCTAGGGTTTCTCTCTCTGGACTGGTAGCCGCAATTGAGGGCTATAAGGACCCTTAAATAGGGCATAGGCCCACAGAGTTTGGGTTTCTGTCCACAGCGCGGACTCGTCGAGTCCACCCATCGACTCGTCGAGTCCCTTCATTAATCCAGTCAGCAAATCGCGATCCTACTCGACGAGTCTAGGCGTCGACTCGTCGAGTCCCTCCTTATAACTCAAAAAGAAATACTCAAATCGTCATGCTTGGAAATCCAGATGTTACAATCTGTGTTCGATGAAGAATATTCATTCGAAGGAACAAGAAGTGAAAAATTATTTTTCAACACACAACCTTTCAACCCCAGAAGCAAGGTGAAGCTGTATTTGAAGTTATGTGACGAATTGCATTGAAGCCTCCTCAATCAATTTGCTGCTATCTATGAACCTGCTAAAGTGATTCAGAAGAATCGGTCTCTCTGTAATTATCTCTGAAGTATTTCAAAGTTGAAAGTGCTGATTTTCAAGAACCAATACAAGAAACCTCTATACCCAATGTGCGTTCAAAGTCAAATTTTAAAGGAAGTCCAACTATTCAAGATGAAGTCATTCATGTAGAAATTCATATGTTTATCTTGAAGTTGTGAAGAAATCGAAGATAAAAGCTGAAAGTCAAGATCAAAGAAAAGATTGAAAAGAAAAGAAAGTTATAAACCAAGGGGAGATTGTTGGGACATGATTTGTCGTTTATACTTTACTTTACATAGCTTTTAGAGTTCTCGGTCTAGGAACGAAAACACCATGAATTCGGTAGTGTTTGGACCGAAATCTTTAAGTAATTTCGGTTGGGCTTTGGACTGGGCCTTTGTAATTAGGTCTAGGTATATATATAGTATTGATTCAGCCGTGTTTAGGGTTGGTCATTCTAGTTGTTGATTTCGAGATTTGAGAGAGACAGAGAGAACCGAGAGACATAGAGAGTCGTATGTACTAGACTTTTGATTAATATAGCGTGCATTGAAGATTCAACGTTGTGTTCTTAATTCATATTTACGATTTGTGTCATTCACTTGATTGGGATTCCGCACCAATCTAGTGATTTGGATTGATACTTAGATCAGGGTTTTACAACCCTTGACGATATAAACACTTATATGAAAAATACAAATTAACCACTTATGTATTGTTGCTCGACTACAGGACTATAAAATACCCCTTGACGATAGGAATTAGGCTTACGAAATGCTTTGATTTGAGTGATATCCTATTTAACATTAAAAATTAGATTAATTATATTTTAAATAATCAGTTAAATATATCATAACTTACTTCTTTGAAACATGCATTTTTGTACGAGCTTGGCCCCCCTCTGTTTACAACTAGTTGTTTTGCACGAACTTCTTTGTTTGACTTCGAACACCTTAAAAATTCGGGCATTTGAAAATGTTCGATTCCCTTCACCCAGTTTTCAGGTGACATACCCTTGGGGGGGGGGGGGGGGTTGTTTAGTGCGATTGGGATATCTGCAGGCCCCCCGATTTGCTTAAAATAAGAACGGGTTTTACTTTTTCGGCCTCTGTAAACTTTTGCAAGACTCGAATCAATGCTCCGCAACAATTGAGCACGCTCCGTATCCAAGTTAACCTTATCCAAATCAAACTTATTCTACAAATACAAAAAAGTTAGTTAATTAAATAACAATCACAACTAAACTTAAAATATTATCCAAGTTACCTTTAGATGCACGACTGTTGCCTTCCTTAAAGCGGGGGAAACATTGTCCCAACCAGATACGCTGAAAGGGATGTTGTTCCACAAATACCTCACAATTTCATGTGTAAACCAATTAGCAGGCTTCCCGACAGGGGAATATGTGATCTCCTTGTCGAAATCCAAATCGACGGGCTTTCCCTTGTTTGCATGTATCTACTTTCACAGCTCGATATTTTTTGATAAGCCCCTTCGTTTTTTTGGAAGCTCGGCTGAAAAAATACAATTATAAATATTAGTCACAATAACTTATAATAAATTAATAAAAATAACTAACATATATATCATAATAAAACTTACCATCCTGTTCGTGCTGACCGCGACCAAAGCCTACTGGAGGTGGTGGATCCTCGACTCCATCACCTCCATGTCCAAGGCACATAACATCGGCCATCATGGCAAAGAGTATCGCCCAAGTAAACCTCATCTATAGCCTGTAAAATTACAAGAGGTACAATATAGAAATAGAATACAATATAGACAAAATCGGGACAGCCCGAAATTAATTTCTAAATAAATTTCAGGCAGGTATTTCTAGGCTTTTGATGATTATGAAGAAGAAACTTAAACTAAAAATCAGTTATTCAACGTGTTTTAATAAGAAAATCATATTATACAGTACATTATTTAAACCATAGTTTTAAAAGTACGATGTTATGATAGAAAATAAACAAAAGTATAATGTTATAATTAACAAAAGTATCATAATTTTGTTAATTATAACATCATACTTTTGTTTATTTTTTATTATAGCATCATACTTTTAATATTATATTACATAATATTATGGTTTAAAAAATATACCATTTAACTTGATTTTATATTTAATTTAATTTGATATTATAATTAATTTAATTTGATTTTAAAATTAACTTAATTTGATTTTATAATTAATTTAATATTTTCTTTTTTGTTATTAGTTTTTTTTAAATTAATTTAATTTGCTTTTATAATTTACTTTATTTTATTTTAATATTAATATTAATTTGATTTTAAAACTAATATAATTTGATTTTACAATTAATTTAATATTTTCTTTTTATTGATTTTTTAAAAATTAATTTAACTTTATTTTATAATTAGTTTAACATTACTAAAAGTACGTTGCTATTAATATCCTAATTAAGCTAAAGTTGTAATGACCAACATTAAGTCACTAACAAAATTAAGCACTTTGAAACCAAATTAATAAGATAATAAAGACATAATACACATATAATACAATCATACTTGTAAATACAACCACTTCAACTTATCGAACACTTTAACTTATCAATTAAGCACTTTACAATACAAACAATAGCATCTAAATACAAAAACTATAAGTTATCAATTAAGAACTTTAACACTTCATCTTATATACACCAAACTATTAAACTTAAATATCACATAATCATATATGTATACAATACATTCAATTCCAATTTTCATTTCATGTTAGACATACGATACAACTTTCATATTCCAATTTCACACAATTAAGCATACAATACATCAAACAATTAAGCAATACATCTAGTTTCATACAACCATACCTTATAGCACCTACAATTTTAGACATCCAATTTCAATTTCATACAAATGTATACATATATAAATACAAAATCAAACAAATAGGTTGCATAAATCTGAGAAAACATATATAATCACTCAAAATGCATATATAATCACTCAACCAAACAAAATGCATAAACACTTCCATCACTAAAAATAACATCAAAACAAAAGTACAATAGAAAATACGGAAGAAATTCGACCTTAAATCGTCAAATTTTGCGAATTCTAGCTGTGTCGTCGCCCTCTTCGTCGCCGGTAATGGAGTTCTTAGTCGCCGGTAATGGAGGAGGTTTGGCCGGCGGCAAGTTTTGGTAGCAAGTGGCGTCTGGCGGCGTTTAACGGTCGCAGTCCGTTGGGAGTTCGGCTGGGAGGATTTAAAGAGAAGAGGCAGATGATAAACACAGGAACGAACGAAGACGGGGGTTATCTGTAAAGACCTTTAGCGGCGACGGGTATTAGCGGCGACATGTCTGGAGGGAAAAGTCAGCGCCTTTTTTTAGGCCGTTACAACCCTTGGATTTAAAACAGACCGAACGGACAGGGCTCATTTGACGCGGATCGCTATTCTGAGGGAATTAGCGGCGACGCATTTAGCTGCAACGCAAAACATTAACGGCGACATGTAACACGTCAATTACATGTCGCCGCTAATGCCTTGGGTCGCCGCTAAAGGCGACGTCGTTAATGCCCACCTTTCTTTTAGTGCAATGAGAATGTGTTTTAATGGAAAATACTTTGATTACATATAAAACCGATTAATTTTTAATTTATTGAATATGTTTAATTATATATTTACCTTCTCATTATATAAAATATATAATTTTTTGGGTCTCAAGAAAGGCTATAACTAAACCGAATGACACTTAACCCTCTGTACAACAAAGCCATGAACATTCCGGCAAGTAGGTTACCGGAGTTTCCAGAAATTCCTGTGGCCCAACCAAAGAAACTTCTGCTGATCATCATATTAGTCATCATCATCTCCCCTCATCCAACAAACTCACAATCCTTTTCTTCTTCTCCAGCGGATGATCTTTCAGATTCACCGGATACCGCCACAAATTTCCAGCCAAGCTTAGCAGTTGTCATCGGAGTTCTTGCCATCATGTTCGCTTTAACATTTATGCTCTTGGTTTACGCAAAATGTTGTCACAGACCGTCGTCTCTTCGGTACTTGAATCAAGAAAACTTGGGTGAGTTACCTCGACCACTCTCCAGGGTTTCCGGCATCGATAAAACTGTGATCCAATCACTGCCGTTTTTCCGGTTTTCTACCTTAAAAGGATGGAGAAACGGCTTGGAATGTTCTATCTGTTTGTCAAAATTTGAAGACATAGAGATTCTTAGATTGTTGCCCAAATGCAAACACGCGTTTCATATCGATTGTGTGGATCAATGGCTCGAGCAACACTCTGGGTGTCCACTTTGTAGGTGTAAAGTTAAGCGAAGAGGATGCAATGCTTTTTGCAAATTCGAGTAGTTTAAGGTTTTTAAATTCTGATCGAACGCGAGAAGATTCAAACCTGGGACTGTTCATCGAGAGGGAAGGGTCCACACGATTTGGAAGTCAAAGAAGTTATGGGAAAATGGAACACGAAATGAAGGATCAAGACATCTTGGAAGATGAAGACATCTTGCATAAGTTTAATCATCGAATCATTATATCTGATTATGATTATGATCGAATGATGAAGAGCAGATGGAGCAATTTGAACTCATCTGATCTTTTGTTTTTGAAATCCGAGATGATAACTTCTTTGTCAAACAAGGTACCTGGTCGTCATGGTGATCAAGAAACTGTTGCTCCCATGTCGAACAACACTTTGGATAGTTACCCTACTGTTAAAACAGATGGAAACGATCAAACTGATGATCATGATCATCAAGTGATCAAAATCAAAGAAGAACTTAAACGAAAAAGAGAATTCGAGAAGAAAATCAAGAAATTTTCCAATGGAGAGTCAGATATGAAATCTGCGAAACTCGTTTCTCAACGGTCTATGTCGGAAATCATCGTTCATCCAAGATTTCTTGGTGTTGAATCAAGCAACGAGGTAGGTAATTTCGGAGAAATTAGTGCTAAAGAAGAGAGATTAAAGAGATTATGGCTACCAATTGCTAGAAGAACAGTTCACTGGTTTGCTAATCGAGATCAACAGCTACAGGTTAACACGAAATCACAAGTTTAATTTTGATCGAAGAGCTAATTTTCATGGTTCTCACCACATGTTATAAAAGAAAAAAAAGTTATATACTTTTTTGTAGAGATTTCTTTAGATTTTACACATTTTACAGAAATTAATAACCTTTTTATTATTTTTAGTTGTAAAGTGTCCTAATATATTGCTCTTGTTAGTTGTATTACGTACCTTACATGTGTTTTATATATAATTTTGTGGCTAGTTGATTTAAGATGTTTTAAATTAATTATATTTTGTATGATTAAATCTGATTACTAATAAGTTAATTTCTACTTTCAGAATCAATATTCGTTAATTATAAATTTATAATTAAAAAGAATTATGGTTTCAAAAGAAAAAATTAATTACAAATAAGTAAATAATTATTTTATTAAAGGGGATAAACTGATAACATAGAGCTAAAACGTTGGTTTGGGATCAAATAAATTATTAAAGCTTGAGTACTGTTAGCGTTGTTATCTTTTGAGTCTGTTCCCTTGATTTTAGCTGATTGCTAACCTGATCTACAAACATGTTCTCTTTTTTAAAAACTCTTTTGATTAAAAAAACAAATATTAATTTTATTTTCAATAAACAATGACAACAATGACAAGATAATTTCTAACATGACTACATAATTTCTTACATGACTTCATAACTCTTATTCATAATATATATAGCATGTTTAAGATAGTTTTCAGTAAAACAAATTAAAAAAAAAAATCAACTCTATCGGTATTTTGTAATATTAATAAAACACAAATGGATAAATTTGTTAAAAAACTTGGATTTTTAGAAAAACCAAAATGTTACGGGTGCGTTTAGCTACGGAAAAATGCAGGCCCGGATCTAAGGGAGGGCAAGGTGGGCAGCCGCACAGGGCTCCGAAAAAAATAGGGCCCGAGTTTTTCAAAATTATATAATTAAGATACTAATATATATTATGTTTTCAGATTTTTAACATAAATGTCCTTTGATTCAGCTGATTAAAATGCGTTTATTTAAATTCAATCCACACGGGTTCGATTTTTTCCAAGTTCAATTGTGACTTTTTAACGTGAGCTTATTTTCATTCCCTTACAGAATGATATCATTGATATTCCAAGTTACAATTTCTACCCTTCATTTATGATACATACTTAACAATTTATCCTACATATCAATTCTCTTTACTAAATAAATTTCCAAAAATTCGATATTTAGCCCCTCAACTTTTATAAATTTATACTTGTCATTTTGTTTATTAATTTAATTTATTTTTTGGTTTTTCTTTATGACAATTCAGCCTTTAATATATATATATATATATATATATATATATATATATATATATATATATATAAACTTTAGTTTATATAATTATTTCATTACACGTTCGGGCATAAGGGCCTTTTTTTCCGGTTCGTCCTGGGCATTTGAATCCTCAGGACCGGCCCTGGAAAAATGGGTCGTTTTTCGGAAAAATTTTCCAAGAAAAATGAGAATTTTGAAAACGCGTTTAGTTCGTCTATTTTTCTAAATTTTTCAAAAAAAATGAAAATTTTCCGTTTCTAAAATTACAAAAAGAAATTGGAATTATTTGGAAAACCAATAATCATTGTTTTCCACATTTTTCTAATTCCAAAATTTTTTCTAAATGAAACACACGCGCCTACTCTCACCCCACCACCTCTACCCTACCCCCTTAACACCCCTACCTACCCACCCACCCCCACCCCCCACACACATCCACCCCCACCCCCACCCCCTCGACACCCCCACAAACACCACACACACACACAAACCCCCCCCCCCCCCCACACACACACACACACAACACAACACACACACAAACACGGAAACACCCCCTACCCACCCCCACAAACACACACACACACAAACACACAACCCACACAAACCCACACCCACCCCCACCCATAAACACACACACACACACATAGACACCCCCACACACACACCCACCCACCACCCACAAACACACATACACACAATAACCTTTGTTTTCCACATTTTTCTAATTCTAAATTTTTTCTAAAATATAAACACACGCTGTAACTCCCCAATTCCCAGGTATTGTTTAAATAAGAATTTAATTGGTTTCAAGGCCTACTCGACGAGTTGGTTGCCCTACTCGTCGAGTAGCAACGGGTTTGATACGCGTGTTTAGTGACCTACTCGCCGAGTCCATGAAGGGACTCGACGAGTAGGCGCTGGCAGATGAAACCCTAAATCCCGGGGTTTTGCACCCTATTTAAAGGAGCCTCAGCCTCCTTTGGCCTCTTTACAGTCTTTGAGAGCTCAGTGAAACCCTAATTCGTGTGGTACTCTTCTTGGTGTGATTTAAGCCTTGGAAAGAAGGTTGGCTAGGAGGGAAAAGCTTGAAGAGCAAAGGAGTTGAAGCAAGGAAGGTGTGGGAAGCAGAACTTACCTCAGCTAGCATCTTCTAGAGGTATCAAGTTTCAATCTTTACTTCCCTTTCCTTCTAGATCTCTTTTCTTTTGGATGAGTTTTAGGGTTTTATGGATTTTGAGTTGAGATGGGGAGCTATGGGCTAGATCTGAAGTTGTAACTTCAGATATGGACCCTTCCTAAGTCCTAGAGTCATAAAGTTGCGGGTTTGGGGGTGATTGAGACCCTCCTTGTGCATGTAACCCCATTAAGAGCTTAGAATTGCCATTAAGAGCCTTTTTAGCCATGCATACACGTAAAGTTTGCAACTTTACATGAAAAGCATGCCCTAGAAACTTGTATCTGTAATTTGGACCTATTGCATGGCTTAAATGAGTCTGTATGACTTAAGGGCTGAAGGAACTCGACGAGTCGCAAGGTTGACTCGGTGAGTCGTATGAAGATGGCCTTGAACTCGACGAGTTGGATGAGCAACTCGGCGAATCCGATGAAGATTGCCATAGACTCGGCGAGTTGTATGAACAACTCGGCGAGTCGGATGAGTTTTCCCCAAGTTATGAAGGTGTGTGTATCCGTCGTGTTGCAAGAAGGAAACTCGACGGGTGGTATTAGGGTTTCGATTGAAAATCGTAGGAACTCGACGAGTCACCCCGGTGACTCGGCGAGTGGGGAAGAACTTCAAGGAACTCGGCGAGTTAAGGTCAACATGGACTGTTGACCTTGACTGAGGACTTTGACTTTGACTAGGGGTTGACTAGTCGGTTTATGGAGTACCTTGTGAGGTTAAGGACTTATGAGTATTTTCGTACTATGGTGATAGGTGGGGGAGTCCTTGGCAAGTGATTCGAGAGTTGGGACTTATCTACCGAGTCGACATCTGCGAGGTGAGTTATCCTCACTATATCGATAGGGTCTAAGGCACCAAGGCCGGCCCTTGTAGTTGTTATCGTTATGGTATGTTACATGTGGATATGATCTGTTAGATAGGAATCAGGATAGACAGTATGTTATGCTCTTATGATCCGTAGGGATTTATATGTTAGTGACCTGCTAGGTCAGTGCTCTAGTTATGAGTGATTGCTATGTTTGATGATTGTATATGCCAGTATATGTTAGTTATGCGTACATGATTAGTAGCTTGATGCTTGGGTTGAGGCGATCCTGCTCTGTGCTGAAGGCCAACACACCCTATGAGCGGTCCGGGAAGACTGTAGGCCCACATGGCGGTCCATTCATGCCGAAGGCTCGGTATAGATTCAGTTGGACTGTAGGCCCTGTAGGGCGGTCCAGTCAGGCCGATGGCCCAGTATGCATGTTGATTGATTGATTATTATGGCATGGTATTATCAGTGTGGTATTGGTATTTTGGGGCTAGCTCACTAAGCCCTCGGGCTTACAGTTTTCAGTTTATTGTTTCAGGTACTTCAGGAGTTCATGGCAAGGCGAAGGCGTGACCGTACCGCTCCTCATCCTTATGATCTGGCGTTTGGGACACTCTGATTGAATAATGAATTGAAAACACTTTTGTAAACAATTACTATTTGGTTTTATTTATGCTTGAAAAGTTTAAATTTGGCGTAAAATTTATGGATGTTACAAGTTGGTATCAGAGCCTTGGTTTGAGCGAATTGGAGGAACACTCGTGTGAATCCAGTCTCAAATCAAGGAGATTTTTCGGAAAGTAAAATTTTTAAAAGGGTTTTCAAAATAAAGGATGGAGGATGCAGAGGGTACGATCAGCCGGAGCCTGTAAGTAAACCCCAAAATACCATACAGTTATTTGATATTGTGATATGTTAGAACAGCATGCTAGTGCTAGGCTAGGGATCTTCAGGAATCGCATGATAGATTTGCCTGATTATATGATGCCTATTAGCCTAGGGTTTCTTGTATATGGAATTGACATCATAACTGTAGATGTTTAGTGTATGCATCACGGCTGTGCATAATAAAGACCTCATAGCCTGAGAATGTTGATTCGGCCTTTGGGTAGGATTGGACATTCGAAAGTATATTGGGTCCAGCGTTATGTGCAGTTAGCATACACTAGCGTTGCAGGGGATGATGAAAGTTCATGGATGTGTGAGTTGTGAGAAGCTGTAAGACCAGTTGCGAGATAGTTGATATTCCTCTAGGGGTGAGGGTTGATCGTATTTATGTTGATGCTAGTGTTAGGGTGTTGTGGGGATACTTGAGACAAATATGGGTAGGTGTGGAAGGTAGTATGGGCCCGTACTACTGAAAGCACAGGACCCATACGCGTAGCAAGGAAGTCACAACCCCTAGGGTTTGTGGGTTTGTTTTCCCGATATTATGTTATTTATCTGATGAATCGAGTATATCTTTCAGTATGGTGGTGACGAGACGTGTTGGTTCTGGATCCTGATCGGGATCAGGATCAGGATCGGGAGACGGAGGGTCGGAGGTGCCGGTAGCACCTGAGCCCGTGGTACAGATAGGGACAGAGGAGTTGGATGCCAGGATCCGGGAGATTATGCACGACGAGATTGCTGCGCCATTCCGAGCGCAGCTGCCAGAGATGTTCGGGTCGATTAAGACCGCGATGGTTGAGTACTTTGATGAGCGATATGCAGCTCTAG